TGGAGTCTTTAAAAAGAGTATCCAAACGGCTAATAGATCTATAAGTGAATGGACTAGAGGGGGAGAGGGCAGGGAATCCAAACCAATAATTGAAACAATATTTCTTTAAGTCGGCATACGTGAGTAACAGGAATGACATCAGGAGTGACAGGTTTTTGAGGCAATCGCCATTTTTAATACTCTCCAAAATGAGGACGACCACAGGTATCAAGTAACTCCTTCTTGTCAATGTTGTTGAAGGAGGCAATTGTGTTCATGTTTCGTAGGAGACCATGCAGGAGAAGGGAAGTATAGTCCAGTAGGCTCTGATCCCACATCAAAAGCAGTATAATCCATGCAGGGATAGGAAAGGAGTGCTAATCCGCAGTGTTCAGTTAGTAGTTCCTATAGCTGCCCCTGATAGGGACCGGGTCCTCTCTTAGCTGATACTCTTCAAGTTTCCTCTTCCCTAACTCCTGCCAGTACCCTGGGTCAAGGCTACTGCTGAACGGGAGGAGCTGTCTGCAACACGTTTAGAACTTTCTCCCTCACAACTGGCAGCCATTTTTATCCTTCGCAGCTTTCAGCAATTTGACAGCAAAACGAATTTGTACTGTTCACAGTCAAAAATATTTTTAAAAAATACTTTTAAAATTCACAAAAAATACTTTAGTGTGATGCATAAAAAATAGTAATCATAATAATAGTAGTAATATTTTTCTAAATTTTCCAAAAGTCAAAATAGACCAACAATAATGCTAATAGCCTAATAATTAATTTTAGGATAGAACAATAAGATAAGTTATAGAGGAGAAAAATACTTGAGGTTAGGACAATGAATTTTAAAGGTTGAAAATCAGAATAAAATAAAGAGAATATTTATCTATCAAGTACAGTAGAAATAGTAATAATAATAACAACAAAAATAGCAGGCAATGAATATTAATTTACAAGTAAATATTCTTTACAAGCTCTATCTGATTCAAGAAATTTGTCCACGTCAGCCATTACTCTTCCAAACTTATCAGGATAATCTTTACAAACTCGAAGAGCATTCCTCCAGGACACTCCTTTATTAGACTCTATCCATCTCTTGAACACTATCAAGAGGTTATTAGTAGCAGTCCCTGGAGTAGGTGGCAGGTCATCCACTTTAACTTTAAGTGCAGCACCAATGATCATGTAATCGCCAGCAGAACTATCAAAAAGCCTGTGGAGGTCCGTTAATTTAGGCTTCTTGTCCAAAATGTCTAGAAATAAATATAAAAATTAATTTAATAATAAAAACTACAATGTATCTTACATTTATCACATACATATGTATTAGTATAATATAATATATACATTAATCTCTACTGATGTACTGTATGTAATGTATGATAGTAGTATACACATACCTTGTGCATCGTCAAACCAAGTACTGTAGTCACTGCTAATATCAGAGGATTTACCACAAACTGTACAATCATCTTCATTTACGATACAGTAGCAGCTCTCATTATAAGGGCAAGCAAATGCATTTACGTAATTACGCTTGAGGTGCATGGCATCACTGCTATTATTAATAGCTGTTGTGAGTAGCTTACGTACTAAAGGACAGCGCCGGGTAGGACCAGTAAAGTACACTTCAATATGAGTGTAACGGTTGATGAGGTGAAATGAATGCTTTGATGTGATCATTATCTTGAGGGACATGGCATCTCGAAATTTATAATACCCTGGCGCCGACGGAGAAATTTTAGTAACGTATTCTTTCTGGTTGAGTAGGTGTACGATGGTTAAAGGGAACAATCCTGTAGGAACTGGTAGGATCTCTTCACTCTCCTCTTCCCTCCAGACTATGAGAAGTGGCTTAGCATTAGTTTCCTTAATTGAAACTGGTTCAATGTATGAAGGAAGAACATAAGGAATGAAGTAGTGTCCCTTTGGTTCATCTTCTAGTTCTGTGATGATGTTAAGATGAAGGAGGAGTCTGATTAGGTCACACAACTGGAACTCTGGCAGAGAAAAT